TCACAGGTGGAGAACCGCGGTTTTAACCATTCTGGCTGATGACCCACCTTCAGGTGGTCGAGGCACTCAGCTCACGTGCAGGGTGGGCTTCCAACCCACTGAGCAGTGCTGCGGAAGAAATACCCCTGGTCACCTGCCTCATGAAGCTTTCAGCCGTGAGAAATGCACCCTGTGGAGTACTTCCCCCTGTCAAGGGGGTCATCTCAGATCAGAACTGGGCTCACTAAGAATGGCAGCATGGTAGAAATATTTCATCATAAAGGAAAAGGGTCTTTTAATCCCACCACCCAAAATTTACTCCGGTCAGCATTTAGCCTGTAGTCTTCCAGATTTATACACATCCCACCAATCAACACAACTAGACACTAATTGCTATCTTTTAAAAAAATGATATCATATGCACCTAGTGGAGCCCTCAAGAGCTCTGGTAGTGTAGCGAATTGTGTTGGGCTGTTAACTGCAAGGCCAGCAGTTCAAAACCACTAGCTGCTCAGCCAGAGAAAGGTGAGGCTTTCTACTCCCATTTACAGTCTCAGAAGTCCATGGATGTAGTTCTTTGTCGTACAGGGTCACCAGGGTCAGAGTGGACTTGCGGGCAGAGAGTTTTGTAACCTGTAATACAGCCTCGTTATTTGCAACACGCCCATTGGCAGCAAGGATAGTGCATGCTGGGTCAGAGCTGCGTCATTACTTACTTAATTGTGTGTTGTCAGACATTGTGGGGATTTTCTCCGTGATTTACAATTAGCAGCCTTCGCCCTCAGTATCAAAGAAAACGTGTGACAATGCCTGGAGACAGGTTTGGTTGTCATGGCCACAGCGTGCACGCCACGGGCATCCTGGGAGGTGAGGCAAGGATGCTGCTCTCAGCGGTGCGCAGAGTGGGAAGCCTTCCTCGGAAGCACAGCCCTAGAGGTGAGGGCAGCCCCACGGAGACAAACAGTGGTTCTTCTCAACGGTAGACCTATCATCTATATCTGATATAGATAAATTCCGGGAATGGGAAAGCAATTAGGAAAAATGTAAGTCTAAAAATACTCCTTAGGGGCAAAAATTGAGCGGGGGCGGAATAAAAGGAAAGGCTAAAAAGCTCTGCTATAAAAATGAGCTTCAGGCCCCTTCAATAATGCCAGTGAATCCCAGAGATGGAATGTAAGACCAGCGTGGATGTCACAGTACAGTGCTTCTCATGCGAAACTTAGAAACGGTCCACACCAAGCGACCCTGTACAGAGGGGGCATGATGTGTGTGTGGGGAGGGGGGGAGAAGGGGCGTGTTGGCACAGAAAGGCAGGAAAGGCAGGGCAGTGGGAAGAAGGGCGATAGGGTCAAGAAGGACACCTGGCAGGCTTGTGGGGTACCAGCCATGTGCTGCTTCCTATCTTGGCTGGGGGTTAGGTAGGTGTTTACGTTAAAAAAATTCACTACACTACATATAACAGCAGAGTCAGTTGTTCAAACCAGCCACTCTGCAGAAAAAGAGGAGACTGTTTCTGTGAATATTTACAGCCTTGGAAACTCTCTGTGATAGTTAAAGTTTATTGTGCCAACCTGGCCGATAAACACGTGGGATTAATTGAAAGGCAGAGAGATAAACGGCTCTCTGAGCCTCGCCTTTCGAGTTCTCCTGTTTCTTGCTCTCTGATGGTCGGCCCAGTGTGCGGCTGCCTTAGCTAGTTCTCTGCCTCAGCTGGCAAGGCTCACGTCCTGTGAGACAT